CTGCATGCTGTGACTAAGACCTGGCACAGCCACATAAGTAAATATAAAAAAATTAATAATAAATGGGGACATCTCATTGATGTCATTTATTATTTTATTGAATAATAAACAGAGAAGATGCTCATTCCATTTGGAGGGTCTGCTGAAGGGAGAGGTTTTTAAAAGACTCAGTAGAGCAGAGAATATATAATGTGCCATGTATCACATGCTGTGACATCTTTCCTATCTACAAGGGAAGTTTCAGTAAAATATGTATCTCTACAATCTGGTGTGGTGTAGGGGCTTCTCGGTGATGTGACAAAGTTCTAAGTGGTCCTTCATCGAGGATGAGACAGGAACTGTTCTTACCTGAGTTGCAAACTAGTTACTGATACTCATGTTAACTTCAAATTCTAACTTGTTGCCTTCTCTTAATTTCAACATTACTAAGCTTATGGTATAAGAATGAACTGAAAACTAATATCTTTTCTTATTGTGGCAAGTCAGTTTTTTTCCAAATGAGTTCCCCAGTATTCATATGTAACCTTTTCTCTCATCCTTCTTCCCTAGCCTTCTTTTCCCAATATCTTAGAGTTTTATCTCTAATCTGATTTGAAGGGACGCTTCCTCATAAAATGGAACCCTGACATTTAGGTGAAGCCATGCTAGGTGCCACACCCCAAATCTGGTTCAATGAATCAAAGGTTTATTTCTCGCTTCTGTTATATGTCCATCCGGGGTCTGTAAGGTCCTTGTTCCACAGAGCCACCCAGGAGCACAGGCTGAAGAGGCTCTATCATCTTGGGGCTAGATCTGGGAAATCATGACCTCTGACATGATCAGCTAAAGAGGAGAAGGGCATGGAGGAAGCACCGAGCTTATAATTGTATAGGCTTAGAACTGACATTGACCACTTCTGCTCATAGTCCATTGTTCAAAAGTGGCCCCCACCAGACTGCAAGGGAGGCTGGGAAATCCAGGGGAGTCCATGTGTATTTGCGAGCACTTTCTTTGCTACCACTACTAACTGGAATACTATGAAACCCAAGTTACATTATAGTTCAAACAGTTTTTGAATGTAATTTGTATATGGCAGTTTGCTGATCTGTTCTCACGGACGTTTGCTGGGATTTGTTTATTTTTAAAAATTTTATTTATTTATGGCTGCTCCGGGTCTTTGGTGCCGTGTGGTCTTTTTCTAGCTGTGTTGAGCGGGAGCTGCTCTCTAGATGTGGTGCTCAGGCTTCTCATTGTGATGGCTTCCCTTGTTGCAGAGCATAGGCTCTAGCGTGTGTGCGCTCAGTAATTGTGGTTCCCAGGCTCTAGAGCACAGACTCCGTGGTTGTGGTCACAGGCTTACCTGCTCTGAGGCATGTGGGATCTTCCTGGACTAGGGATCGAACCTGCACCTCCTGCATTGTCTGGTGGATTCTTTACCACTGAGCCACCAGGGAAGCCCTGCTGCGATTTACTCTTTATTAAAAACTTTTAAAAATCTTCCTTCTTTTCCTCCCACTTTTACTGAATAATAATTCACACTCAACATTTAAGATACACATCCTAGTGGTTTGATTTACATATATTGTGAAATGATTATCACAGCAAAACATAGGCTTAGTTAACATTAAGCATCTCATATATACAATGGATTCAATAGAAAGAGAAGAACAGAATTCTTGTGATGAGAACTCTTAGGACCTGCTCTCTTAACAACTTTCTTATATATCATACAGCAATGTTAATTATAGTCATCATGTATACTACATCCTTAGTACTTATTATTGTTATAAGTTTTGACCACGTTCTTTTAATTTTCCCTCTCTCCACCTTCCCACTTCTGGTACCCAACCCATCCCTCCTCCCACCCAACCCCTCTTGGCAGTCACAAGTCTGTTCTCCATGTCTCTGAGTCTGTTTCTGTTTCATAGGTAGGTTCATTTGTGTCCTATTTTAGGTTCCACACATAAGTGATATATGATATTTGTCTTTGTCTTTCTGACTTACTCCACTTAAAGTGATAATCTCTAGGTCCATCCATGTTGTTGCAAATGGCATTATTTCATTCTTTTCTTTTAAGTTTAGTTCAGTTCAGTCGCTCAGTCATGTCCATCTCTTTGTGACCCCATGAATCACAGCACGCCAGGCCTCCCTGTTTATCACCAACTCCCAGAGTTTACTGAAACTCATGTCCATCGAGTCAGTGATGCCATCCAGCCATCTCATCCTCTGTCATCCCCTTCTCCTCCTGCCCCCAATCCCTCCCAGCATCAGGGTCTTTTCAAATGAGTCAACTCTTCACATCAGGTGGCCAAAGTATTGGAGTTTCAGCTTCAGCATCAGTCCTTCCAAAGAACACCCAGGACTGATCTCCTTTAGGATGGACCGGTTGGATCTCCTTGCAGTCCAAGAGACTCTCAAGAGTCTTCTCCAACATCATAGTTCAAAAGCATCAATTCTTTGGCACTCAGCTTTCTTCACAGTCCAACTCTCATATCCATACATGACCACTGGAAAACCATAGCCTTGACTAGACAGACCTTTGTTGGCAAAGTAATGTCTCTGCTTTTTAATATGCTACCTAATTTGGTCATAACTTTCCCTCCAAGGAGTAAGCGTCTTTTAATTTCATGGCTGCAATCACCATCTGCAGTGATTTTGGAACCCCCCCAAATAAATTCAGCCACTGTTTCCACTGTTTCCCCATCTATTTCCCATGAAGTGATGGGACCAGATGCCATGATCTCAGTTTTCCGAATGCTGAGCTTTAAGCCAAATTTTTCACTCTCCTCTTTTCTTTTAGCCTATTTAAAAAATATATTTTAGACCTGAAATATACATACAGGTTAAAAAAGGTGATGAAGGCTGTTAATGACCTCTTTATCTCTCTTCCTAATTTGTCTATACATTCCTTGAGGTTCTTCACAACTTCTCATGAGGAGATACATGTGTAAATGTGACACTTGTCTGCTTTCAGGAAGGGAAACTGACTTTATATATTATCTGTCTAATATTATCTTATTTAATCATTCTTTCATTTATTTATTTATGAGCTTATATTTATTTGTGGACTTTTTTCCCCATGAGATAAGAACAAGTCAGTGGTGAAGAAGATTTGTCACTTTGACTTTTCCTGTTGGCGATCTTTCTTGGTTGTTCTTTTGGTTTGTCTATTCTGTTCGGGCTTCACTTATGGCTCAGCTAGTAAAGAATCACCTGCAATGTGGGAGACCTGGGTTCAAACCCTGGGTTGGGAAGATCCCCTGGAGAAGGGAAAGGCTACCCACTCCAGTATTCTGACCTGGAGAATTCTATGGACTGTATAGTCCATGAGGTTGTAAAGAGTCGGACACATCCGAGTGGTAACCCATTATTATTCTGTTTAGAAATGGTGTTACCTAGATGGCAAACTATCAGATAAGACCAGGACAAGTTTTACAGAGGCTGTGTGGGACCAGAAGGTGGCCAGGAAATGTGGTCTCCATGCCTAGCTGTGTTCCATGTTACAGCACAGACTGGACTCATTGCTGTCTTTCTGAGGTCCTTCTGGGAGGTGCATTGATGAAAAAGGTCTCACTCTATTGAGGCTGTACTTAGTATCATCTTGAGACACTCAGGGATTCATTTCTATCCCAGAAGATATGAATTTCATTTAGGAAGGACTGGAAAACCCATCATGGTTCATGGTCTGTGAGAGAAATAGGAAGAGATGTGAGGGGAGAATTAAATGGATCTCAGTGATTCTATTAATACTTGTTTCTTGAAGGGATTGGACAGAGTCAAACTGAGCCTCACCGTTATCTCCATGTAAAGATCCTTTGTTACTGATGGAAATATCCCTCTGCCTTTTGTTTTTTTGAACTTTCTATTTTATATTGGAGTATAGCCAATAGCAATGTTGTGATAGTTTTAGGTGCACAGCAGAGTGACTCGGCCATAAATGTACACGTATCCATTCTCCCCCAAACTCATCTCCCATCCAGGCTGCTGCATAACAGTTCCATGTGGTACAGTAGGTTCTTGTTGGTTATCCATCTTAAATTTAGCAGTGTGTACATGTTGATCCCAAACTCCCTAACTATCCCTCCCCTTCTAGTAACCATAAATCCATTCTGTAAGTCTGTGAGTCTGTTTCTGTTTGTAAATAAGTTTATTTGTATCATTTCTTTTCTAGATTCCTCATATAAGGGATATCATATGATATTTCTCTTTGACTGACTTCACTAAGTATGACAGTCTCTAGGTCCATCTAAGTTACTGCAGCTGGCATTATTTAATCCTTTTTAATGGCTAAATAATATTCCATTGTATACATGTATGTAGCACATCTTCTTTATTCATTCATCTGTTGATGGACATTTAGATTGCTTCCATGTCTTGGCTGTCGTAAACAGTGCTGCCATGAATATTGGGGTGCATGTTCCCTTTCGGATCATATTCTTCTCTGGATAATATGCCCAGGAGAGGGATTATCCTTCTGTGTTTTAGAAACAGTACACTCTCATAGAGCCCTTGCCTACATCACGCCACTAGAAAAATCCATGGCTTGATGATATTAACCCAATGGGAAATCAGTTTTTTTTTTTTAATTTCTTTCTCCTTTCTTCTGTTCTCTACAAGGGTGTTTGTGTTTTGTTGAAGCAAACAGCATCTCAAAGGCCTTTCTCTGGCCTTGAAGACCATGTGCACAAGAAGACCAGATCTGACTATAGAAAAGAGCTAGTAGGAGTGGAGAGTCTTGCTATACTGTATCTTTCATTCTGTGAGGTTCCTGTCTGCAAATCAAATCTTGGTCATTGTAGCTAGTGGCAGAATCTGAGAAATAAGACAGACTTTTTAAAAAGATAAAAAGGTAATAGCTCTTTCTCCTTGGGTATTAAGAAAAGGAAAAGTTACAAAGCTAATAAAATTTGAAACCTTGCCCAATTTATGCTTAATAAATACTTAAAAAATATTTTCATATATAAGATAAAAGATAATCCTACAAGCAAATAATTTTTTTCCCTTTCTTTTCTCTTCTCTAGGCTTTTCCTCCAGATGCCATCACTGTATTTTTTTACTGCAGTTCAGTGACCATATTCTTCACAATAATCAAATTAGTCAGTTATCGTCTACACCTCATGTTTGATAAAGGAGAAGTGATCCAGCGAAGACCCTCTGGAAAGAAAGAAAAGCCAAGTAAAGACAAAGAGGCCAACGGTGACCATATAACTAATCACAGAAATCCAAGGTAACATTTCTAATTAATGCATCAGTTTATAATTTAAATGTTTTAATCTTGATTAAAATTATTTTGCTCATTTATTTGTTGTTTATGAAAATATTCCAGGAGAGTCAGGCACAAATATGTACATTTTTCTTCTATTTACATATACACTTAGGCATAAAAAATGTTGACGATCCAGATGGTTTAATTGGCTGTTTAATGTGACCTTATATCATGCTCTGAAATTCATTTGCATTAGGCTTAGCATAACAAAATATTTTTCTTTAGTCTTTCTATCTCATCATTTAAATGCTTAGCACATGTGAGTATTTTCAGGAAATTTGTGTTTGTTAATTTAAAAGTAATACATTGTGTAGAACTAAAATAGTAAAGATAATTCTCATGTGGGCATTCGTCACTATTCTTGGTCTTATTTCTGATAGTTCTTTAAGAGAGCAAGTCTTATTTTAAAGTAATGTTTTTAGCTTTTAAAAGTAAAGTTTGTATGCCATGATTTTTCCTTTTTGTTTGTATATGGATTTATGGACGTATAGTTGATTTACAGTGTTATATTAGTTTCAGGTGTATAGCAAAGGGATTCTTTTTCAGATTCTTTTCCCATATAGGTTATTACAAAAGATCAAGTTGAGTTCCTCATGTTATACAGTAGGATCTTGTTTATTTATTTTATATATGGTAGTGTGTATACGTTAATCCCAAATTCCTTATTTATTCATCCCTCTCCTTTTCCCCTTTGATCACTATAAGTTTGTTTTCTGTGTCTGAGTCTGTTTCTGTTTAGTAAATAAATTCATTTGTGTCATATGTTAGATTCCACATGTAAGTGATGTCTTATGGTATTTGTCTTTCTCGCTTACTTCCCTTAGTGTGATAATCTCTAGGTCTGCCCATGTTGCTCCAAATGGCATTGTTTTATTCTTTTTTATGGCCAAGTACTATTCAGTTGTGTCTGTCGTGAATCTGACAAAGTGGAAACAAGGAGAACAGTTGTTCAGGACGAATGCCGAAAGAGCCGTACTTCTGTTTTATAATATCACTACCCCTGTGTTTCTCACGCTGGGTTAGCAGCAATGGGCAGACTGGCAGCCGCAAAGAAGAAGCCGAGCGAACCCTCCCCACACCACCTCTCCGCGGCCGCTCCGGAGGACAGAGCGTAAACTCCCGTCGCTCCTCTGGGCTCCTGGTTAGTGGTCTGTTTTCTCTCCCACCCTCCTCACGCTGCTGGTTTGTCGGTTCAGGAGGTGTGGTGGCTGCACTTCACACGTGTGGGCTGTCAGTACTTGTCTTTGGGTGGCAGTGAACTGACGGGCGCCCCTGGGCCGTGAGATAAACGCCTAATCCCATGGAGCGCACCCCCAGCCTCTTCTGCAGCCCGCCCACCCTGCTGGGACTGCGCCGTGACCAAACCCCAGAGGCACACCCGCCCTGCCCGTCTCTGGTCCTGTCTGTCGTCCATCTCAGTCGTCGCATTTTCAGTGCCTTCCCCTGGAGTCCACTCCCTCACTGCACTTGAAATCACTCTTAAATCACCTTTTCTCCCCCCTAGATTCACTTTCTTGGACTCTCTTCCTTACAGTATAAAGTAGCACATTATTGGTCTCCTTACTTTCTTAATTATCAAACTCCCCTTTATCCCAGCACTGGGGTCTTGGGTGGATGTCTGTACCTCTGTATATTTTAGTGTCCATCTTTACCCATTTGTTTCATACATGCAGTGTCCAGTGTAGTGGACACTATATTGTCTCCTCCCCACCTGCCATAAAAATAGTGGTTGTTGTTCCGTGTCTGCTGACTGCCTGGAAGTGAGCAAGGGAGCTGAGTCATTGATTGATTTTTGTTCTTTCATTTCTTTAGGACCTTCCAGCGCAGGAAACAGTGGAAGATCTCAAAGGTAGAGTGCTCATTCTCATTATTCAATATTTTATCACAGCATTATCCTCAGTGAAACACAAAGTAGTTTTTATAAAGCCAAATGCCAATGAAGTCATTAAGATTTAGAACAGTACCTAAGGTTGTGTATTTATATTTTACCTTCATTTCTTTAACTCTTCATTTTAATTATTTATCAGAATTTTTGTATCATGTCTCTGTTCAGACTGTGATATTGTATTGATCATATTTCATTGTCCTTTCTCCAATCTATGCCTCTTTCCATAAAGCTAATAATAGCTGATATAAAATAGGTAAATTCATCATCAACACACATACTTGCTTTCTTTTTCAGTTTTTCGGCTGTACCTACCACCTGGCCTGTGGGAACCAGGGATTGAACTCCTGCCCTTTGCACTGGAAGGGCGGATTCTTAACCACTTAACAACATTGTATTCTGTGTATTTGCATTTCTCCCAATTTACAAATTTTGTTTCTGGGATTTCCTTTTAATCCTCCTACCCCAAGTATTTATTTTACTTTTTTGCTAAGATTTTTATTGTTTTTTGACTGCCTTCAGAAGACTTGTGTGCATGCGAAGTTACTTCAGTCATTCTTGTCTCTTTGCCTCCCAAACTCCTCCATCCATGGGATTCTCCAGGCAAGAATACTGGAGTGGGTTGCCATTCCCTTCTCCAGGGAATCTTTCTGACCCTGGGATCGAACCCATGTCTCTTACGTCTCCTGCATCAGCAGGCAGGTTCTTCACCACTAGCGCCACTGAGAAGCAAAACTTAGAAGACTTAGAAAAGAACTTATGGAGGCCTGAGTGAACCTCTTCTTTTCTCTGCTTTGAAAAACTTCTGCTGAGGTCACATTATAAAATCCAAGCTGCTTTGGCTTGTCAAGTGCTGTAGTGGATTGGCCAAAAAGTTTGTTATGGTTTTTTCATTACATCTTACAGAAAAACCTGAATGAACTCTTTGGCCAACCATATATTTTGGAGCCTCCCTGCCTTGGTTTAGAAGGATTAAGTAACTTACCCAATGTACTGTAGCTAGTAAATAGCACAGCCAGCATCTTTCTGATTGCAAATATGTTGTTTAAATCACACTAATATGCCTCCCAAGCTTCCCAGGTCGCTTAGTGGTAAAGAATTCGCCTGCCAATTCACGAGATGTGGGTTTCATCCCTGGGTCAGGAAGATCCCCCTGGAGAGGAAAGTGGCAACCCACTCCAAACATTCTTGCCCGGGAAATTCCATGGACAGAGGAGCCTGGCAGGCTACAGTCTATAGTGTTGCAAAGAGCTGGACATGACTGAGCAACTGAGTATGCACGAGTCTGACTCCCAGGGCCACAAAAGAGGGAAAGCTAAAAGTCTGAATTATTATCTTAAATATAGAGATTTCAAGAACAATTTCACAACAGAGGTGGTATTTTTAAAATAAGCATCTAATCACATTTGTTGCTGGTGTTATTTTAAAATTTTTATTGTTATTATATATAATAATAATAATTTATTATTATTTGGTCTTGCTCTGGGACATCATTCATCCATTCTGGATGGGAATCAAGATGCTGTTGTTGATTTCAGGTGTCATTCTGTCAGATGACCAACCCATAGCACCAGTGTCATCTACCTTACCTGGTATCAAAACGGAAAGCTTACCTGCTTCTAAAGCACCTGTGCTGGGAACCATTACCACATCGGCAATACCACTGAAGCCCGTTGTGGAGGAAACTTGCATCAGTGACCAAGGGAAGGAAAGAGGGGGCAGGGGGCAGCCCCCCTTCCACCACAGATCCGAGGGTGGCTTGGCGGACACAGAAGCCATAAAGAAGTTGCCCTACGTGTCTTTGTCTCAGTACAACTTGCTGGAGACGGGCGTTTCTGTCCAAACTTGGGGGAGTGAGAATTCTGTCTTGATTCCAGAACCTGGTAACTATGCCTCCATCAGGGACAAGGTGCAGAGCAAGTCGCCTCAGGACAGCCTGAGCAGCAGCTGCCCTCAATGTAACACCGTCATCGCCAGACCTGAGCAGGAGCAAGTTTCCCAGCAGGTGGACTCGACCTTGAACCAGGACGTGGGCGACTCAGATAGTGAGGTTGCCGTCACTCTGATAGATACTTCTCAGCCTGGTGACCCGCTGAGTCTGCACGAACCCATTAGGATTGTCATCACCATGAGCAGTACTCCCAACTCCATGACAGACTTGGAAAGCTCGCTCCATCTCAAGGCAGTTGGTACTCAGCCATCTGGCTTCCAGGCTGATGCTGAGCCAGCTCCCCCAGGGGCGGCCAGTCCCCCAAATGTGGAGCAGATGAGAATTCCCGTCATCACCCTGCAGCTGTCTGAGGATGCAGGAGGCATGGTGTGTCCCGAAAGCAATGGAAGTGGCAGGACACCGGAGAGACTGATGGTGGAGGCATCCTCCAACCCGTGTTCTGGCTATGAATCTGGGGAGGGGGGCAGTGCCACCCAGGACCGCAGTCCTTCCTCAGGAGACCACTGTGCAACCCCCCCACCTACACCTCACATGATCTCTGAGTCTGAGGTGGGAACGGAAGCCCAGGCCAACCTTGGTCCATCATCTTGTAGAACCAGCCAGGAGAAGAGACATGCCCGGGTCCTCAGTGTGGACAGTGGGACGGATGTCTTCTTGAGCAAAAGTTCTGCAGAAATTATTAATGATAAAGAGCAAACAATGCCAACTTCCAAATCTGACCTAGAGGCCAAGGAAGGACAAGTACCAAATGAATCCAACTTCCTGGAATTTGTCTCCTTGTTAGAATCGATTAACACTTCCAAGGTGGTGGTGTCTAACCAAAGGAATGAACCAACAGAGCAGAGCAAAGACAGCAGGCTTCCTGCAGGTAGGATCCCACATCTCTTCTGTCCTGCTGATGCAGAGAAGGCAGTGTCTCTCTTTGTCATTGGCTTTCTGTGATTAGACTTTGCAAACAGCTGGACAGCTATTGTGTAATTTTTGGCTGTTTGGCTCCTCACTGATATTTGCTGAGTGTGCCAAAGCCAAGCTGTGTGATGAACATAGATTAAAACTGGCTCTCTCCTCCAGGAAATTTTAGGCATAGTAAGAAGATTTGGTATCCCTAGAAGGCAGGAGTGTTTATTTCTAATGAAATAAGCAATTATATGTTACCATGGTGACGAGAACCTTCAATGGATGTCTCTTCCATTATAAAATAGATGCACTCTGGGAAAGCGATTGTAAAGCAAATTAAGGAATCCACTTTTCTGTTGAATTCTATTATACAGTCCTGTATGCTGAATTTCCTAATTATCCCAAGTTGTAAACATAATTATAACACATGGCCCTTAATATATGCCAGTGAAAGTGTTAGTTGCTCAGTTGTGTCTGATTCTTTGCAACCCCTTGGATTGTAGTCTGCCAGGCTCCTCTGTCCATGGGGTTCTCCCAGCAAGAAGACTGGAGTGGGTTGCAATTTCCTTCTCCAGGGGAATCTTCCTGACCCAGGGATCAAATCCTGGTCTCCTGGATTGCAGGCAGAATCTTTACTATGTGAACCACCAGGGAAGTCCAATTTATGCCAGGCACTGTCCTAAACCCTTTATAGATATTAAAGAGGGTGACCATCTGTGGTGGTTTGTTTGACAAGGTCCTTGTTAACACGTGTTTTGCCAACATAATTATCAATAACACCACCTCTCTCTCACAAAAGTGTTCCCAGCTTGAACAATAAATTATACAGTTACTGTATAATGGAGTGAATTATATACAGCTTCACTCATTTGCTCCTCATATAACCTTGTGTTATGGGTTCTTTTATCATTCCTTCTGGAAAGGTGGTTTTCTCTAAGTTTTCTGAGCTAGTCTAGTAAGTCTGGAGCTGAGCTTTGATCTCGGTATTGCCCCAGAGTCAACACTCATAAATAATAAAACTGTATTTCCTGCATGAATATAATATTCACTCGTTTTCAGGTTACTTAATATCTCTGAGCTCAGTTTCTTCCCTGGCAAGGGATGTTACTGGACTAAAGTTTCTGCAAAGTCTTTCTTTATGTTCTTTTTCTTTTTTTTGGCTGAATTGCATGATATGCAGGATCTTAGTTCCCTGAGTAGGGATCCGAGCCAGGCCCCCTGCAGTGGAAGTGAAGTGTTCTAACACTGGACTGCCAGGGAAGTCCCTATGGTCTTTTAACTTTAAATGTCCACATTTCTCTGATTTTTGAGTACATCATTTCTGCATAGATCTCTGAGAGCATATCTATACAGTAGGATTGCTTGCAGGAAGTTGTGTTTCATGGGTCTGTAGCATTTCTTCATTCTAGGATTGCCCCTTTATTATTGGCTGTTCTCTGGGACAGTCAGAGGTCCCTTTGGCTCCACGATGGTAGCTCCCAGCAGTTTGTTCTTGTTCCTTTTGTCTTTCTGGTGCTCTTTAAAAGGCTTGTCCTGCTAGTGGATCAGTCCACTCTTGCACAAAATTTCATCAATATTTGAATATTTAAATTATGTAAACTGAATGTATTCACCTTTTTACTACATCTATGTATCCAGGATTTGTGTATAAAGTAACATGGACAGGAAAGGTAAACTTCTTAACAAACATGTACAGTACAAGAAAGCATTGGTTACTCTGAGATACTAGACATCTTTCTGATATGAGCTTTGGATTGCTTACTCCCCAGTTAATGTAAAGATTCATGGATCTTGACTAGCGTCTGAGGGAACCTTCTTCAGTGATGGAAGTGTCCTGTATCTGCCACCACCAGTGGCTACTGGCCACTTGTAGCTATTAAATACTTGAAATGGGGATTGTGCAGAAATGCAGTTTTTAACTTGATTGAATTTTACTTTATTTAAATAGCCCCACATGTGGCTACTGGCTACTGTATTGGATAGTGCTGAGCCAGACAATGTGTGTCTTCCTGGGGAGCTGTGAGTGGGGTGGACAGATCCCTGGCTTTGGAACTTGACAGCCCAGGGCCAAATTATGGCTTTGCAGTGCCAGCTGCATGAGCTTGGGCCATTCACCATATCCTTCTGAGTCACAGTTTCTTCAGTAAAGCAGGAATAATAATATGTTACAGATTTACTGTAATGATTCAATTAGGAAAATATGTTAAAAGTCTTAATACTTGATCAATTTCAGCCATCTGTTCTGAGTTTCCCCTCTGGATATTATGTGAGATTTATTTAGTCTGTCTAAAGTTTCTGCTCTTAAACTTTTCAGCCAGCCATATTTAATCAGAACAGGGTTGAGTTGGAAAGGGATGTGGATGCTATGAGGTTTTCTTTGGAAAGAATCAGGCTTGGTTGTTGTGACAGGAACAGGTTTGGCTATTGGGAACTTGTAGGTACAACAGGATTGGAGAAAGAAATGGCAATCCACTCCAGTGTTCTTGCCTGGAGAATCCCAGGGACGGGGGAGCCTGGTGGGCTGCCGTCTATGGGGTCAGAGTCCGACACGACTGCAGTGACTTAGCAGCAGCAGCAGTTGTACCTACAACAGGGAGGGGGAAGTTAGAGTGGATTATATGTCTATTCCAGGAAGGGTCAGAGGTTTGTTCTTAATTTATTTTTAAAAAACTATCAAGCGTTTGCTCTTCTTATTATCCTGTGATTTATTCTCCTCCCGTATTTTTTTTTTATTGAAATACAGTTGATGTGCAATCCTATATGTGTTTCAGGATTATATAACAATGATTCTCAATTTTTAGAGATTGTATTTTATTTAAAGTTATAAAATATTAGCTATATTTCCTGTGCTGTACAATATATCCTTGTAGCTTATTTATTTTAAATATGGTAGTTTGTACCTCTTAATTCTTTATCCCTGTCTTGCCTCTCTCCCTTCTCTCTCCCCACTGAAAATCACTAGTTTGCTCTCTACATCTGTGTTATTTCTGTGTGTTATATTCACTAGTTTGTTTTGTTTTTTAGATTCCATGTGTCTGTGATAACCTACTGTATTTGTCTTTCTCGACTTACTTCACTAAGCATAATAATTCCAAGTTCATGTTATTGCAGACAGCAAAATTTCATTCTGTTTTATGGTTGAGTAATATTGCATTGTAAATACTTATACTACGTCTCTTTTACCATTCATCTGTTGATGGACACATAGACTGCTTATGTATCTTGGCTACTGTAGATAATGCTGCTTTGAACACTGGGGTGCATGTATCATTTGAATTAGTGTGCTTGTTTTCTTCAGATAAATACCCAGGAATGGGTCATACGTGGGTTCTATTTTCAGTTTTTTGACAAACTTCCATAATCCATAGTGGCTGTACCAGTTTGCATTCCTACCAACATCCCTTTTTTCCTACATCCTCACCAACATTTCTTATTTGTAGACTTTGTGATGATGGCCATTCTGACAGATGTGAGGTGATATCTCATTGTGGTTTTGATTTGCATTTCTCCAGTGATTAGTGATGTTGGCCATTTTCATGTGCCTGTTGGGCCATCTGTATGTCTTTTTTGGAAAAATGTCTATTCAGATCTTTTGCTCATTTTTTAATCAGGTTGATTGTTTTTTGTTATTGATTTGTATGAGCTGTTCATATATTTTGATATTAACTCCTTGTCAGTCATATCATTTGCAAGTATTTTCTCCCAATCATTAGATTGTCTGCTTATTTTGATGATGGTTTTCTTTGTTGTACAAAAGCTTTTAAATTTAATTATGTCCCATTTTTTAAATTTTTGCTTTTGTTTTCTTTGCCTTAGGAAACAGATGCAAACAGTAATACTTCAATTTATGTCAAAGAGCTCTTTGCCTATGTTTTATTCTAGGAGTTTTTTGGTTTCTGATGTTATATTTAGGTCTTTAACCTATTTTGAGTTTACTTTTTGTATCTGGTGTGAGGAAATGTTCTAATCTCTTTCTTTTATATGTAGTTATCTGGTGCTCTTTATGGTACTCTTATTTCCAACCCAGGTTGCCTCCACAGAGGCCTTTAGGATTATCTTTAGGTCTTGGGGATATTCTAGAATTTGAGGCTATAGAAATCCGCATACTTACCAACAGCCTTTAAAACCATGTTTCCGCTTTGTTTTGATACAGCTTTATTTTATTTTGTGGAAATAAACAAAAACCGCTCAACTGAGAAAGAGTAAGGCTATTATTTAGAGCTTGCTACAAAAGATGCAACCACCAGCATTCTGGCAGAAACTCTGAGGCAGGCAGAGAAGAAAGCTTTGTAGTGGAAAAAAGGAAGATTCCAGGTGTGGTTGGAAGCTATTGGCCTGGGGAAGCTGGAGGCGAGATTATAGCAATTGATGTGATTGGTTTATTATTGTCGTTGACTAGGTCCTGTCCACCTCCTGGTGACCGAATGGGCTGCAGCATGCTAGGCTCCTCTGTCCTTCACTATCTCCTGGAGTTTGCTCAAATTTTGTCCGTTGAGCCAGTGATGCTATCTAACCATCTCATCCCCTGCTGCCCTCTTCTCCTCTTGCTGTCAATCATTCCCAGCATCAGGATCTCTTCCAATGAATTGGCTCTTCGCATCAGGTGGCCAAAGTCTTGGAGCTTCAGCTTTAGCATCAGTCCTTCCAATAAGTATTCAGGATTGATTTCCTTTAGGATTGACTGGTTTGATCTCTTTGCAGTCCAAGGGACTCTCAAGAGTCTTCTCCAGCACCACAATTTGAATGCATCTATTCTTCAATGCTCAGCCTTCTTAATGGCCCAACTCTCACATCCATAGATGGCTACTGGAAAAAACATAGCTTTGACTATACGGACGTTTTTTGGCAAAGTGAGGTCTCTGCTTTTTAATATGCTGTCTAGATTTGTCATAGCTTTCCTTCCAAGAAGCGAGTGTCTTTCAATTTCATGGCTACAGTCACCATCTACAGTGATATTGGAGCCATGAAGTGATGGGACAAGATGTCATGATCTTAGTTTTTTGAATGTTGAGTTTCAAGCCAGTTTTTTCACTCTCCGTTTCAGCCTTATCAAGAGGCTCTTTAGTTCCTCTTCACTGTCTGCCATATAGTGGTATCATCTGCATATCTGAGGTTGTTGATATTTCTCTTGGCAATCTTGATTCCAGCTTGTGATTCCTCCAACCTGGCATTTTGCATGATGTGCTATGCATATAAGTTAAATAAGCAGGGTGACAATATACAGCCTTATTGTACTCCTTTCTCAATTATCCACCACTTGTTCCATGTCCAGTTCTAACTGTTGCTTCTTGACCTGCATGAGGTTTCTCAGGAGACAGGTAAGGTGGTCTGGTGGTCCTATCTCTTTAAGAATTTTCCAGTTTATTGTAATCCACACAGTCAAAGGCTTTAGTGTAGTCAATGAAGCAGAAGCAGATTTTTTTAAAATTCCCTTGCTTTCTCCATGATCCAACAAAGGTTTGCAATTTGATCTCTGGCTCCTCTGCCATTTTGAAACCCAGCTTTACATCTGAAAGTTCTCAGTTCACATACTGCTGAAGCCCAGCTTGAAGATTTTGAGCATAACCATGCTATCATGTGAAATGAGCACAATTATATGATAGTTTGAACATTCTTTGGCATTGCCTTTCTTTGTGATAGGAATGAAAACTGACCTTTACCAGTCCTGTGGCCATTGCTGAGTTTCCAAATTTGCTGCCAAATCGAGTGCAGCATTTTCACATCGTCATCTTTTAGGATTTTAAACAGTTTAGCTGGAATTCCATCATCTCCACTAGCTTTGTTCATGTATGCTTCCTAAAGCCCACTTGACTTCACACTTCGGGGTGTCCGGTTCTAGATGAGTGACTGCATCATCGTGGTTATCTGGGTCATTGAGACCTTTCTTGTATAGTTTCATGTATACATTTCTTGTATAGTTCTGTGTATTCTTGCCACCTCTTCTTAATCTCTCCTGTTTGTTAGGTCCTTACCATTTCTGTCCTTTATCGTGGGGAAGAAAATGGCAACCCATTCCAGTATTCTTGCCTGAAGAACCTCATGAATGGTATGAAAAGGCAAAAACATGATTGGTTAAAAGAGCATATTTGACTTTCTCTGATTGGTTGGATTTCTGCAGTTGGAAGCAGGGATAAAAATTAGGGAAGCTCTTAGTTATTAATCAATTCCTGTCCATTTTGGGCTGATTGTTGCAGGAGTTATTATTTGGCTTCCTGAGTTGTTTGCTAGAAATAGTGGTCTGACTTCTGACAAGTGTGACTTGTACATAGTATGTTAGTTTCCTGGGCTGGTTACTGTAGTTAATGGATTATTTTTCTGAGCTGGTTCTGTAGATTGTGGGTCAGAGTTCTATTTGTATATATATTACATGGCTATTGTCTATTTGTATATTCAATTTCTCCTAGACTTTCTAAGAAAATAATCATGAATGCATGTGGAGATGATTATTGAAGGATTATTAATATCTGCAGTATAGAAAAATGGAAACACTAAATTTACAAGAATAAGAGTCTAGTTTATTAAATTATACTATGTTAATGTAATATTATTTAGCTTCCATTTGGGGATAATGTAGAAGAATATCTCATGTCATTAAATATTTATAATACTTTAAAATAAGTAGAACAGTTACAAAACAACATCTGTTTTTGGGGACTTCCCTGGTGGTCCATTGTTTAAGATTCCATGCTTCCACTACAGGGAACATGGGTTTGATCCCTGGTCAAAGAACTGAGATCCTACATGCCTGTAGCATATCCAAAAAAAACTCAACACTAAAAACATCTGTTTTATAACTTTTCTATTTAGTTTAGTAAGTTATACTATATCAATGTAAGATAATTTCCATTTTTGGATGATGTAGAAGAATATATCATTAAATGTTTGTAATAATTTAAGAAAAATAGAACAGTTATAAAACAATATCTAAATTATGACTTCATTTTTGGAGAAAAAAATGTCTAAAAGAAAATTTCGGTGTGATATCTATCATATTGGCTCCTGAATCAACATGGTGGGGTTAGGAGTAATTTAAGACTTTTCCCTTTTTCTCTAGTTTTAAATTATATGCCATTCACTTGTGCTATTTTTAGACAGAAAATTCCTTTACATGTGTATTTTTAAAGGGAAAAGGAGAAAAGTAGCCCATTGTTGTTGTTGGTCGCCAAGTCGTGCCCAACTCTTTTGCGACCCCATGGACTGTAGTCTGCCAGGCTCCTCTGCCCATGAGATTTCCCAGGCAGGAATACTGGAGTGGGTTGCCATTTCCTTCTCCAAGAGATCTTCCCACCCAGGGATTGAACCTGCATCTCCTGTCTTGGCAGGAGGGTTCTTTACCACCGAGCCATCAGAGAAGCCCCAAAGTAGCCCATAAGTTGGCATTTGTTATGTGCCCATTTAAGAGAAGGAGAGACTAATGTATTAAAAGCAACATGAATGAATGAGTCCACATACATGTAGTGTTAGCATGTAGAGCTGTCTAAACATGCCTCCCTGCAGTTTTATGCGACATGATCACTGGCTAAAGCTATTTGTTATGATAGCACTTTTTCACAGATGTGTTTCTTGAAAGCTGTGGAAACTTCTATCTTGACAAGCTGTCAAATGAAATGCAAACATTTTTGTACCAAAGCAATTCTAATTGTTTCACAGATGCACTGGGAATGTTTTTCTTCAGGACTCACATGGAAGCCAGCAATGTTTCTATAGTTACTTCAAGTCTAAGGATGAAAAACTTTGTTTTACACATGGTGATGGGATTCAGACCCCAGGGAAGCTAGCATCTTTTACTTTTTAAGGCAGATCTTGGTGGGCTTTCTGAATGTCATTCCTTGAAAGAGCCTGTATGTTCAAACCACACAATCATGTTCTTCTCTCAGGCGAACGTTTATGCAGAAGAACATAGCTATTGGCATCTTTGGTCATAAGAATACAGAAGACATTGTTACCTTGAAAATGGCCATTGATGTGTGTCTTTAGCCATGTGTTTCAGTAGTTGTGGCACATGGGCTTCTCTCGCTGTGGCATGCAGACTTAGTTGCTCTGCAACATGTGGTATTTTAGTTCCCTGACCAGGGATCAAACCCACGTCCCCTGCATTGGAAGGTGAAGTCTTAACCATTGGACCACCAGGGAAGTCCTCATAGGAGCTATTTACATTTTTCTATTTATTCTTACTTCAGTTTGGTAACTTATTTCCACACATTTCCACCTTAATTTCTTATTAAGTATTATGTTAATACATAAAGCAATGTTTTTCAGATAACTGCTCCCAGGAGAAAAAGGAAGAAATCCTGGAAAGTGAGAAACCCAGTGGACCCATTGCCAAACAAGGAAAACCAGACATGCAAAGTCAAGACCACACCAGTACCAGCCCTGGGCTCACCGAACCTGCCAAGATCCCAAGCCTGTAAGGATAATTCACTCATATAACTTGGTGCTGGTACAGTCTCATTCACTGGCTACTGCTTTCAATTCTTTGTTAAGGATAAGGAGGTGTTCCACATCATTTTTGAAACCTTTATATATGTTAAGTTTCCAGGGCAATAGGCAAAGGCAAATAATCTACAGGGTGACTTCCCAACAAGACAGCTCTGTGCTGCAAGTCATCAGTGGGCCGGAAACATCGGTGCAAGATGAGATGTCCGTGGATGCGATGCATGTCTTCATTGATGAACATGGTAAGTCTTCAGGGCTCTTTACTCATGAGGTGGAGGGGGGAAGCTGGCAGCTTTCTCAAGTCTCGTGTGGTCTCAGCCTGAGGACAGGTTTACCAGCCATCTGAAAGTAGAAGGGTCCTATGAGACCTTTCCTAAACTAAAATGATGTAAAGTCCTCAGCCTCTGGGATCTAATGCCTGATGACCCAAGGTGGAGCTGATGTAATAATAACAGAAATAAAGTGCACAATAAATATAATGCACTTGAATCATCCTGAAACCACACCCTACCCAGTCCGTGGAAAAATTGTCTTCCACGAAACTGGTCCCTGGTGGCTGAAAGGTTGGGGATTGTTGGTATAAAGTGAAGAAGCAGTTACCCAGGGATGCATAAAATGCATCAGGATAATACACAGATGCTCCCAATTCAGAGCCATGATGGCTTGATGCTGAGATGCTTGGTGGGACCCTGGCGATGCTACTCTTAGTGCTTAGGGTGTGAGCTGGCTCTATAGCTCACTGCAGAACAAAGACTGAATGCTGTTTTTACTTTTAGCCTTTTAGAAGCAGAACTCATTTCTGGATTTCTTTCAGTTAGCAAAATAGGTACTAAGGTCAATCTTTTGTAAAAAATGAAGTGGCATAAAGCGAACTTTTGAAAAGCAGGAGATACCTGTATTAGACTTTGGAACAGGAAGGCTTAGCGCTGACTGGTCACATTTAAAGTTCTTAGAACTGGCTGTGCGCCCTCTGTGTCAGGGCCTTTGCATATATCATGCAAAGGTATATGCCTGTGCCTGCATTATGCCATTTATCCTTCAGATCTCAATTCTAAAGAATATTCTTAAGGAAAACTTTTCCTGGATTGCCCAGGCTTAATAAATTTCATCTGTGTTTTTGCTCTCTCAACACCCTATCCATTTCCTTCTTTGAGACTGTTACAGCTTCTAGTTGTTTATTGAGTGCTCAGTTGCTTTGATTGTATTCGACTCTTTGTGACCCCATGGACCGTAGCCGGCCAGGCTCCTTTGTTCATGGATTTTCCAGGCAAGAATACTGGAATGGGTTGCCATTTCCTACTCCAGGGGATCTTCCCTACCCAGGGATCAAACCCACATCTCCTGAGTCTCCTGCCTTGCAGGCAGATTCTTTACTGTTGAACCACTGAGGAAGCCCAGTGTTTATTGCCTTATAATAATTTGATTACTGACATTCTCCCCATTTTCACAATTGTAAATTTCAGGAAGGTAATGTCCAGCACCTAATAAATATTTATTGTGTATATGTTGAAATCCGACTTTGATATATTTTTAATGCCTTGTTACAAAAAGATTAAAAGTAATTACAAAAGAGAGGAAGGAAGGGAGAAAGAAAGAAAAAACCATTAAGTGGCAAGTTCAAGGTTCCTTTGATTAAGAAATATAGATCCTAGTTTTTCTAGGATGAGTCTTGGGTTAAATTTTTTATAGATCAGTTAATACTTGGTTATTCTACTCGCAAGGGCTTCCCAGATGGTGCTAGTGGTTAAGAACCTGCCTGCCAATACAGGAGATGTGGGTTTGATCCCTGGGTTGGGAAGATCCCCTGGAGGACGGCCTGACAACCCACTCCAGTATTCTTGTCTGGGAAATCCAATGGACAGAGGAGCCTGGTGGGCCACGGTCCATAGGGTCCAACATGATTGAAGTGACTTCACACCCTTGCACACACATTCTACTTTCAAATAGATCCTGGTTTGGGTAATAAATTATGTGTTACCGTCTCTCTATAGTTCAGTAATTTCTGGTTTGAAGTGCTTTTGCATCTGTAGAAATACAGAGACTTTTATGTTATAAAGAACAACGTTATCACTTTTGTCCAAGCCTCCAGAGGGGCCGTGGTTGTCACTGTCTGTGCTTTTTATGGTGGGACAGCCTTCAAGTTGAGGTCAAGCACTGTGGAATGCATTGCAACTACTCATAACAGACAAGGTTAATTATGCTCCCTTGTCACCTGAAGAAAGTAGTTAAAACCTCTTCTGGGGAGAGACCGTTTACATTTACAAAGTGAACTGATTTTCACACCTCAATACCCTGAACCACTTTAGCAGGCTAATTTAACTCTGCAAATTAATTCCATCTCTTGCTTTCCCTCATTACCAGGCTGACACCCCAGTCAGCAGCTATGTCAGTGCTTATCTTCAAATTCAAAGGTAGGGATGGCCCCGTGTGGCCCGCCTATCAAAGCCATACATTTAATAAGCCTCTTTTTGTGCATGATACCAAAAAAAAAACACCAAAAAACCCCAGTTATAGCATGCTCAGATCATCCTGACACATGAAGAGAATATACCAAAAAACGCATTGAAAAGAATGTATTAGAAGAAAATTAGAGATGGTGCAATTTAATCAATGAAAGGCAATTAAGTGATAAGGAACTGAGTCATGTGATATCACTTAATGTGGGATCTAAAAAAATAGATACAAGTGATCATATTTAGAAAACAGAAACAGTCTCACAGAGGTAGAAAACAAATTTATGCTTACTGAAGGGGAAAAAGCAGGGAGGGTTATACCAGGAATTTGGAACTAACAGATATACTATTATATATATTATATATATAATAAGTTATATATGAAATATTATATTATATATAATTATATATAAATTATATTTATATGATTATATACATTATATATAAATATATTATATAATATAAACATTATATATTATATTATAATATTATATATTATTATATATGTAAAATAAATAAACAACAAGGATCTACTGTTTAGCATTGGGAACTATATTCAATATCCTGTAATAACCTATAGTGGAAAAGAACCTGAAAAAGAATGTGTAGATGTGTGTATAATGGGATCGCTTTGCGTACACCTGAAACTAACACAGCATTGTAAATCAACTATACCTCAATGAAAAAAAAGTAACTGAGTCCAACTTGTCTAATATTATTAGAGAGATGCCTCAGCTTTTCCTAGTTAAGTTATACCTTCTATGGAGAAATACAAAGAATAGACTTAGATTACCAACAACTGTTATTAAAATCATCCAAAATTAGTTCCCTCTAACTTGAAAAAAGTATCCACAGAAATGATCATATAAGTTGTGTAACATTCTTTGCTGAACTTTTGCAGGGGAGATTAAATCCTGTTATTTAAAGTCTGGAAATCAGAAAGAAGGCCCTTTCCAGCATCAGCCATCAAACTATGAAGGCTTCTCTCACGCTGGGTGAGTAGGGCTTGTTTTCAGGTCGGGGAGGTGTTGTCTTGCTGCCCCCAGCAACTTCCATGCAGCTTACTCTGACTGTAAATGAAGTGAGGATCCTGGCGTCAAATGAATGTGTTAATTCATCTGTGGGCCTGAAAGCATGTGGGTTTCATGTGAAAGAAAAAGAAAACCAGATATTGTAGAATAATAAAAAATAAGTGGAACCACCTTCATAGTAGCCACTTCCAAAAATAAATATAACATGTTGGTATTAATAGAGAGGAATCCTGTGTAAATGATTATGGGAAAGGCATTGACGCAGTTTGAGGATGCATTATGAAATCCCTCTCAAGGAATGAACTAGAGAAATGGTTAGTTTTCATCTGTATGGATAAGGTAAACTCTTTTGCTGGTAGATGATCTAAACCTCTTTTCTGTTCTCCTTCTGAGTGCGTTGAGTAACTTTCTTAATTGTATTCGTTACGTTGATATGAATTCACTTGCACGTCCGAAGCATATATGGATTAATGGTGACATTAGGCAAGCTATAAGTCTTCTCAGTTGTGGATTGAATTCGTCCTTCATCCTGGACTTCAGGATTCTTTGAGGATAATCAGTGGCTTGTTCTGAGTGAGAGAGTACATTTTTCATGTACATTTCTCTAGGGTTGTATGCCTTTTTGAGGATTTATGGAAGACTTTTGTGGTGTCACTGAAATGCCTTAGACTTCATGCCTGGAGAGTGTGAAGGGAGTTACAGGAGCTCCACTCCTAGTTTCTAGCATGCGGTGTTCCTTCCTAAGGTCAAAGTTTCCTTACCATGTGTGAATGGGAAGTGCAAGGTGAGCCTCCAGTGTACCTGGAACAAAGTCTGTCCTTGTCCCTGCAGTCTGCCTTCAGGTGGGATTCTGGCATGTGCCAGCCTTTCAGGGTGTTCTTTCGTCACTTCTGCTGCTTCTCACCTGCTCAGGAGTGCTGGTGTCAGCCGTCATGGTAGATCTGATGGCTGTTGTGGGTGGCAGTATTCATGACCACACAACCCCAGCTGGCTCCCAGCCCCAAAGCAGCCTGCTCGGATCCAGAGTGAGTCTTTGGGGGAGACAGGCATAGTGTCCATCACCCACCTGCCTTCCACTGTTCTTTATCTCCCTTGGTACCCACATTTCAATCAAGACAAACAACACAAAATTCTTCTTCAGCCAAAAATCATGCAAAGCGATGTTTGCCACTGGATACCCAAGAAGAGAGACAGGTCTGCCACGCCATCTTGGCTCCAGCCTCCAGGATGTTTGGTGGCAATGATTTGATGAGTTCAGTCATCTAAGGTGGCAGCTTTCTTCAGACAAAATATTTAATTACACGAGAACACAGTTTGAAAAGCTGTCCTGTTACCCTGCAATCCTCAGTTGAAAGCTGTAGTATTTTTAAGCTATATTTGGAACAAGTGTATACAAGCCTCTTATTTTATCCCCAAATAGATTTACAAAGCGCTTTAATTTTTGTTTTCCTGATAAATGGGCTTCACTTTCCCTGAGGAAAATATTTGAACTGCCTTTTGCTGGTAATGGCAGGTAGAATAAGGCCACACATCCAGAGTCTTAAAACACTAAAAATACACAGTGTGCAGATAAGAATTTAAAAGAGTGCCTATAGGGTTTTCAACAAGCCCCATTCCTTGGACCATACCTCACTGAGAGATGCCATTAACTCACTTTCTCCCCTTAATTTCTCTCTCCTCGTTAATTTCCCTCCAACTCTTGTTTTCTTTGGTTTCCTCTGTGTTTCTTCCCCAGCTAGAGCTCTTTTCTGTTTAATCCTTGCTCCCCCTCCGTTTCGAGACCTGCTGTGGCTAAGGATTGCCGTAGTGCATTTACTCTTGGTGAAAGGGATTTCGGCGAGAGGGTAGGTTTTGGCCCTGCTGGAGTTTTAGGGGACACCGACTGTGTTTTCCTGTGAAGCCCTATGGCTTAGCAGCATCTCAAAGTGTCAGTCCTTTCCTAGATCTGCCTTTCCATGTACGTGAATAGTTAGACCCTTTCTGTTACCCACGAAAGAAATCCAAGTCCGGAACCTTCACCAAAATGGGAATTTAGGGGCCATGTGATGGAGCTGTCTTGGGTAGGTGGCTTGAAGAGCATGGTTTCTCTTTCTCCCATCACCTTCCTGTTGCTCTTTTTGACATCACTCTCAAACACCTTACCCTGACAGTCAAAAGATGCCTGCAGGGACTTCCCTGAGAGCCCAGTGGTTGAGACTCTGTGCTTTCAACACAGGGGTGCAGGCTCAATCCCTGGTTGGGGAACCAGGATCCCACATGCCTTGTAGCTAAAAATAAACAAAACGCTCTGATATTAAAAGAAAAAGGTACCTGCAGTAGCCCCACAGCTGATGTCTTCACTCAAGTCCACTGGAGACAACATATTTCTTCCCCATAAACTGTGTAACTCATCATTCTGACTGGGCCGTGGACCCTGAGCCCAGTCACCAAGGCAAGTACTTGGCTTGGGTCTGAGTGCATCCGCAGAGCTGGAGTGACAGGCTCCCTTTGAGAATGTGCGGGAGTGCTCTTCAGACGGAAGGTGGGAGTGGGGTGGGTGGATGTCTGCTTAGTTGCCCAGTTGTGTCGGACTCTTGGCGACTGCATAGACATAGCCACCAGGCTCCTCTGTCCATGGAATTTACCAGGGAGGATACTGGAGTGGGTTGCCATTTCCTACTCTAGGGGATCTTCCCGACCCAGGGGTTGAACGTGCATCTCTTGAGTCTCCTGGATTGGCAGCCGGGTTCTTGACCACCAGTGTCACCTGGGAAGCCCCACGGTGCATGGACGCTGGGCAGCAAAAGCTGACAAATGACCCCTGAGGACTCTCGTTCTGGTAAAATGCAAGTAAATTAATGACTGTCCTTCTTTAAAGAGAGTAATGATCGAGTTTATAAAAGCAACCTTCTTTTAAAGAAACGTTCCTAGTTGTCTCTTATATTTCTTGTATGTGAACATTCTGATGGACAAGGTCTTGGTCCCCCAGCCCTACATGCGATGTTCTTTTTTTCTGTTTTTTATTTTTAAAGATTTTTTTAAAATGTGGACCATTTAAAAGTCTTTACTGAATTTGCTACAATATTTCTCCTGTTTTATGTTTTGGTTTTGTGGCCACAAGGCATGTGGGGTCTTAGCTCCTTGACCAGGGATCAAACTCTCACACCCTGCTTTGGAATGTGGTGTCTTAACCACTGGACCACAAGGGAAGTTCTCCTACATGCTAAGTTCTAAGTCTTTGATTATCTGCTTTTTCCTAAGGTAGTTTGACAGGACATCAGTCTTAAGAGTTCTAAGAAAGAATGGCCCACAGTCACATGCATCATCTCTTTCTTGTGTTTAAAGATAAAATAACATACATGTCTGCTATTGTATGTGTGTGTGTGCTTAGTCACTCAGTCATGTCCGACTCTTTGTGACCCCTTGGACTGTAGCCTTCCAGGCTCTTCTGTCCATGGGACTTCCCAGGTAAGAATACTGGAGTGGGTGCTATTTTATTATTTGAGAATATACACATCCTCTGTACTGTCTACTCTTTTAGATAAGTTGGTCCTTTCGAGGGGACTTTGTTCTGGAGTGCTCTAGCCATTCAGTGGCCCATTTGGGCACATGAGATGTGCAGTTGCTTCTTGTTCTTTCTTGAGCACAAAACTCTAGTCACTTCACTTAGCAGAATTATAGCGTTGAAGGTGTTCCTGGGGTGATGCTGGAAAAGCACTTATGGGACTGCCATTTGCTTAATTCATGCTCAGGAAAAATGGCTCAGTCCTGTGTAGAGTCAGCTGATCTTCTGGGTTTCAGCTGCTGTCTGACAGCCTTAGGGTGAATATTCCAACAGTCTAATACTCCTCCCCAGGCTAAGAGGTGTTAAAAGCTGTGCCACCCACACGTGGGAGGCTAATTTCTTTGGATTTGTAATCAGATTTGTCTTTTGTGGATGTGTGTGGTGTAGTGATGGCTTAGGTACTTTTGAACTGGTTGTATGAAAGAAAAATTGTGGTAAGATAGGATGAAAGCAGGGCTTCCTGGGTGACTCAGACTATAAAGAATCTGCCCACAATGTGGGAGGCCTGGATTCGATCCCTGGGTTGGGAAGATCCCCTGGAGAAAGGAATGGCCAACCCACTCCAGTATTCTTTCCTGGAGAATTCCATGGACAGAGGAGCCTGGTGGGCTACAGTCCATGGGGTTGCAGAGACTCAGACACACTCACTGACTAACACTTTCACTATCTTTAGGATAAATGCAAACAAGCTGGTTTGACTGTTGTTGTTTTTAAAAAGAATTTATTTATTTATTTGGTTGCACTAGGTCTTAGTTGCCGCTCATGGGATCTTTAGTTTTGGCTTTTGGGATCTAGTTCCTTGACCAGGTTTGAACCAGGGCTTTCTGTATTGGGAGAGCAGAGTCTTTGCCACTGGACCACCAGGAAAGTTCCAAGCTGGTTTAGTTTGAGTATGTGAATTTTACCTTCCAATTTACCTTGATTCATGGACCCAACTATTCCAGGTTCCTATGCAATATTGTTCTTTACAGCATCAGACTTTACTTTCACCACCAGACTCATCCACAACTGAGTGTCATTTCCACTTTGACCCAGCTGCTTCATTCTTTCTGGAGCTATCTCTCTGCTCTTCCCCAGTAGCAAATTGGGCACTTACTGACCTGGGGGCCTCATGTTCTGGCGTCCTCTGCGTGCTGCAGTCCATGGGGTTGCACAGGGCTGAACACGACTTAGCGACTGAACAACAGCAATCCTTTCACTAACATACCTGTGTGTGTGGAGAGTGTCACTCCTTCTTTAATGCCAGAGGCAAAGACACGTCAGAGCAGCACACAGACGATCAAGTGCCATGACAGCAGGTCAGGAGTTTGTAACCTGGAGGGCAAGTCACTCACACTTTACACTGTATTCCAGTGGGCCTCGAGTCTTTCTGTGGGAAACAACACTCTGGCACTTCCTGGCCCTGAAGGAAGTGTTTTCC